TGAAGTTCCTGTGGCTTCTGTCGTTCCTATGCAAGCACACTTGCCGAGAATAAAAAAATGGACCTCCCGTATAAATTTGGAGCTTGGGCTGAATGCCTCAGAACTTGTCTGTTTAACCAGTCTTCGGGCCGTCGCTAGCCGAGAGGTATCGGTTTACACTCCCTTCTCCGTGTTCCCGAGGTTAATCCGTATCCTTCCTAGCGTCCAGCTGATTTCTTTGCTTTTTTTCTGGTTGACTGGATAGGACACCGCCTAAGTAAACTCTTCCAAAGAAATTGGTCCGGAATATAACTAACAAAGTCAAAGAACATGATAATAGTTGTTAGCTGGTAAACCCTAACCAAAATTATTGGCGCACCGGGCGTCACTGGAACTTTCATTCGAACGCTCCTGCAGTTAGAGTCGCCGTGCTCGCCTTTTCCTGCTTGTAGTCAAGGCTTCAACTTTACGCGACGGGCAGTGCTCGTCAATCTATCCTACTTGAAGGGATTTGGGTGCGTTCTTTGTTTTGTCTTTGAAAGCGCGTGCAGCGCAGGTACTAGCTAAAGCCTAAACGCACGTTTCTCCGATATTCTGCCTCCGCATAGCACAGGCGCGGGGTATTCGGCTCACCACTGGATCCATCCCCAGTTAGAAATTAATTCTTGTGGTAATTAAAAAGCTGCAAGATGTACTTCCGTTGAATGATAGTCCTCAGTAAAGTGTGGTTGATGGTTTATAGTCTTCAAATAATGCATGATATAGCGTACTGCGATTCAGGTCTCACCTTTGGGTTCCCTAGCCCCCTCAGTGGGCTTTCTGGCATATAATCCGTCTTCGCCCGCACTATAGTAAAGTCGGCGCAGCGTACCGTCCTTGCGGTCGTGCAAAAACTCGTACGCGGTAATCACAGAATTACACCGAACACGGTACAGGTTTAGCCAGGGACTCGCAGAACATGGCATGTGGGATACCGAATAGAATTCTGGAGCTATGTTGGAAACCTATCAGTTTTAGACCGCAACTGTCGTCCGATATGTCGAGGCTGGCCACGCCTGAGTTATCTGAATGAATCCGTCCCTCTCCCCACTATGTGCGGTATACTTGCGTTTCCTCCATAGGCTCCACATAAGCACTTAAAATTGGGCAAGCGCAGCGATGTGGAATTTCGCAGTCATCAACATACCGCCAGTGGTGCTTTCCCTAACGTCGCGCCTAACTAACAGTCCGTTTGAATTC